GGATTTATGAAGATTTGAAATGCCACAAATTGATTCAGTGTCAAAATTAATACAAATGTCAGTTCCCAGTTTAAATAAGTTTCAAGGTGACAATGTGTCAACGCTGCGAAATCGGTTTAGTGCGTTTACATGTCGATAAGTGATTGGAGCGTTTGCAAAACATTTTATTTCGCATAATGCGTCTAAATTTATCAGAAAGCAACTTATGTGATATTTTAATAACAATGTTTATATGACTATTAACCATAATAAGAGAGTAATGACCATTTTACAATTTATATATCACATTAATATGAAACTGCAATAGAGCAATTGTTTGTGATAGAAACCTAGGCATTAGGTCGGGGAATTTTTATCGTGATGACGTGCACGCCACTTTGTTTGGCGTTGACTATATGTATGATTTGTACCTCAAAGTGCATACATATACATAACATATATAATCTTACCACTGGATATGTAATTTGTCGGATTGCAAGGTACTCTTTTGTAAAAAATTCCGGACTATAGGGGGTCTTAGGCAGTGCTCTATAATCCGACAGATTCGCTAGTCCGACACTGCCCTGCATAATGTTTGTCGGATTACCGCAGGTCCACTGTATTCCATGACTATCCCAAAAACTATCACCATCCCAGCCGAAAAAACGGCGTTTGCTTGTTTTGGAGCTGGTTCCCCTTTGCAGTCCACTGTTTGGACTGTAATTTTGTTTCGGGCGTATAATGGGGTATCCAAGTTTCATCTAGAGTAATTAATCGGCGCCAGAACTCGGATTTATTGCGCCTAAACTGCGCCAACGCGCGAATAGCTTCCTCATGCCTAAATTTTGATTTAATATGTGACCAACACGTTCTTTTGACATGTTCATAACCTCTGCTATTTCTCTCACTTTAATTAGGCGGTCGTCTAGCACCATTTAGTGAACTTTGGAGATGATCGTCGGTAAATGCAGTTTTTGGACGTCCCGAAGTTCATGGTCTCCCAAGCTCTTACGGCCACGTTTAAATTAAGCTGCCCAAAATTTCACTGGTGCAGAGTCTCCATACTCAGAAAAACAAATATTTAGTGACTGATCGATACTCGATTTTGTCCGTTTTCACAGAACCACTCACATCAACTCACTGAAACGACTGTTACATAACAACTGCGCGTCCAAAATGGCTGTAACTTTGGTGAGTAACTGTCAACTAGGGATGTTCGATACGATCCGATATTTAGAAGTATCGATACTTTTATCTCCGATACCCGATATTTTGGATCGATATTTTTATATACGATACTTGGATATATCGATACATTTCGCGGGTATCGTTATCTTTCGATCCGAACTGTGTCAGAAAGAGTGACTAACTTCAATTTACTTTCCTTCTTTAGGCAATTTTTTTTTTGATCAGATGTTCTGGTTGACCTTGAGTGACAGAAATCACACAAATGTCTGAGATCGATGCATACAGAGTTGCCAGAGCGTGACGACGGATTTTCATACATAGTGGAAATGGGTCATTACGATTTGCCAAAATGAGCAATCCAAAAGGAAAACTGCTCTCTAATAAAAACTGAAAGAAAAAAAATCCCATTTTCACCATTTGTGTCAAAATTATATATTTTCCATGGTCTGGCAAACCTGTTTCTTCTTCGAATTTCGATGAGTTATTGTTTCCTGTGGCAATTCAGTTTAAAATTACCGCTCTAATTAGTGTCACATGTCTGTTACATATTTCAAACAAAGTGTTGCAGCATCAGATCAGTTAAGAAAAGCGCAACAGCATCAAAACGCCCTTAGAGTAATTCAATCAGTGCCAACCAGATGGAATTCAAAATATTTTAGTTTAGAGCGATTTGTTAAACTCCATGAATATGTGGCTGCTATTTCATTAAGAAATCCCAAGTCTCCAGAAATTTTAAGTGCTTTAGAATTGGAAACACTAAAAGAGGTTTTAAATATTTTAGCCACAGTAGAGGCAGTTTCTAGAGAGATGTGTGGGGAGAAACATTTAACCTGCAGTGAAGTTATACCCATTGTAAATTGCCTCTTGAAAAAAATTTAAAATTTTACTCCATCGACAACACAGGCTCTAGCTCTTAAAACACTAACACTCGGTGACCTTTTAAAACATTTTGGGAGCGTCGAGCAGATTAAACTTTTAGCTGTCCCAAATATCCTAGGCCCTCGTTTTAAACAATTGCACTTCAACAGTCCAATTTCTTGTGCTAATGCAGTCACCTTCCTGAATCAATCATTTCAGTTACGCAAGAAAGAAATAAATACAGCAAAGGCAGGGCAAAGTCAAATTAATATTCTTGGAAAATCTGACAGTGTTTGGGTCTACCATGAAAAACTAGCCCAAAATCATACAGATAAATATGATGATACCAAATCAGATATTGATCTTGAGCTAAAACTGTGTTTCAATAGACTTACTATGCCCCTAAACTCGGATCCCTTTTGTACTGGAATAGCTCAAGTTGTTCCTCAGAACTATTCAAAGAACTGGCTCTCTGTTGTTGGCACATCAGTTCCCTAAGAGAGACTCTTTTCTGAAGCCGGAAATATACTCTGCCAAACCCGAAACAGATTATCTGGCGATCGAATGTCAAATTATTCTTACATTCGCTGAGTGCTGAAGAATGGTATTTTTAAGATTTCGAACTTCGAGTTATTTGTAGTATTATTTTTAATACCCTATGTTTATATATTTTATGTTTAATAAATAATCGTTTTGTAAAGAATTTCTTAGTATTTATTTTATTACCCTTTTTTGTGAACTTATTTGACAATCGTCATGCAGTTGAAAAAAGTGACGTTATTTAAAGCCTTTAGAGGTTTGTAAAAAGGCAACTTCGATTTTCGGCCGTGTATAGTGTATGCTCCGTATCGACAGGTATCGATACTCATGGGATCGATATTGTTATTCCGATATTTTAATGGATCGATACTCCATTAAGCGATACGAATCGATACTTGGTATCGATATATTACGTGGATCGGAAAATCCCTACTGTCAACAGATGACCAACGAAATGGACTAGCTTTTATTTACGAGTGCTGCCATCTTCACGTTGACGTCGGAAACTATTCAGACCACTCTCGTAAAAGATAGTCGCATAACTCACGGCGCAAAAATGAGAGTGGTTCTTTTTGATAGACAGTTTTGTCAGTCGAGATAGTTCTTAGCTTTGATTAGCGAAAATCGGTTCATCTGTTTAAAGGTTATCGAGGAGTGTCAACGTGGGGGTACAGATAGCAGGCAACAAATATGTGATATCAGATATAATGATCGATAAACCGGTTTCTTAAAAGGAATCAGTCAAGTTGTTTGAAAGTCAAACCAATTTTTCTGTATGATCTTTAGTTCCAGACGTTAAAGCTATCGAACTGATAAACCGATGTTGTATCAATATAAAGGTAAAATTCAAAAAGTTGCCCGTTTCTAAAAAAAAAACAATGCCACTAATCCCCTGCATCCCCGCCACTGGTGCACGTCAAGTTTGTAGTAAAGACTTTTGAATATGGACAATACTTAGGTAAATCCACATACTAAATTTTAGTTTATTCCAGGTGACGGTTTTGAAGGTATTAAATAAATAGTTATTTATTTTTAAACTTAGACCCCCGTATCTTTTTAATGAATCCCTAGACGGAATAATGTTGCATAGACCCCCCTTAAATGCGGTTCTGTGTATGATGTTGCATTTTTAGTCACGACTTGTATAACCCATAAAAGCCTTTTCCGCGATAAAAAATTAGAAAGATGCGTTTCTGTCAATGAAATTGTCTCCTTCTCCAACATGGTCTCGTTTCCTCATGAACGTAGCCATATACGCAGACTGGCTGACCTAAAAGTCAGTAAAAATCCTTCTTGAGAAAATCTCCGGATTCTGAGATTCTGAGTTATGTTGCTCATATATTATGAGACATCTCGTCCTTAAAAAAAGCACAACGACTTGTCAGGGTAAATTATCTATTAAATCATTGATTCCCAAAGTGGTCTATATCGACCCCTAGGGGTCTATGACAACCTGCAAGGGGTCTACGTCAGCGAAAAAAAATTTGGGGGTCCATGAAATGAATATGGGGGTCCAAGATAGTGGATTTCAACACATACTCTGATAGTATCTATTTACTTACATCATACTATCTTATAATATCATAACATATACATTATTCATAAAAGTACCTATGAAGTAAAAAATTATTATATATGTTTATAAAATTTTGTAAGATGTAGGATGTTGGTATTCGCTTTGTGGTCGCAATACATTTTGAACTTGCAAAAACCTGAGAGTCGCAGTCTCAGAGCTTCGCTAACTTGCACTGACTTGTTCAATTCGTCACTCTATAAATACAAATGTGGGACAAATACGTTTATTCGTTTCCTGAATCTTGAAAAGGAAAGTGCTAAGAAAATATTTAAAAAAATATAAACAGATAGTAAATCACACAAATTATAGTGAGTAAGTGTTATTTTGTTTGAGAGTGCTGGAGAAAAGTAAGTACATTATTTTTTATTAAATTTTAGTTTTGTACTCGTAGTTAGCAAACATAGATAAATTACCCCAATCATGACTTTAGTTATTAGTAGTTAAATATTCAATCATGCAAAATTACACGAGTACTCCTCAATAGTTTATTTTTGAAAGTTTTAGCAATCGGTAATATAATTACAGTGCAATCTCCGTAATTCGAGCTAATTGTTGCAAGAAGATGTTCGAATTATGGAATGTCTTATTTAAATAATTTAATTTTGCCCACAGATGACTGATGCCATGTCCGAATCTAAAAAGAAATGTAGACAGTACAGTGTTGATTATTTGAAAGTTGGCTTCATTCCATTATTGCCGGACAAACAATCGCCTATGTGCCTTTTATGCAACAAACTTTTGGGCGATGACCCTATGAAACCATCTAAACTGCAAGATCATCGGAGAAGATGCCACCCTGATAAAACAGAGAAAGATTTGAAATACTTTCAAACACTCAAAGATAAATTTCAGAAGAGACCTACACTGGACAGAATGTTCGCTTCGACGTCACAAAGAAATGATGATGGTTTGCGGGCGTCTTACAATATCTCGTTACTTATAGCAAAATCCGGAAAACCGCATACTATCGGAGAGAAGTTAATTTTTCCAGCCGTTGAAGAGGTTTTAAAAACTGTTTTACACAAACCTGCATCTGATATCATTAAAAGAATTCCCTTAAGCAACAATACTGTTGAAAGACGTATTGATGAAATGAGTTCCGATATTGAAAGCTTCTTATGTAATTATTTGCAAACCACCCATTTCTCTATACAACTGGACCAGTCAACTTTACCTGATAATGCAGCATTATTATTGGCATATGTTCGTTTTATTATGAATCAAGAAATCTACGAAGAACTGCTCTTCGCAAGAACTTTGATAACCGACACTAAAGGTCAATCAATATTTCATGTTTTGAAGGATTACTTCATTGAAAAAGCAATTCCTTTATCAAATATAATATCAGTAGCTACAGATGTAGCACCTCCAATGGTTGGACGTTATCGTGGATTTATAAGCTATTTAAAACAAAATGTGTCAGGGGTGTTAGCAGTACATTGCGTCATCCATTGACAACATTTAGTTGCTAAAAATTTGAGTGTTAGATTGCATGAATCACTTCATTTAGTCATTGATGCAGTAAACCGAATCCGAAGCAAAGCGTTGAATACGCGGTTATCTGCGCAGTTGTGTGAAGAAAATGACGAACAATTTCATCAATTACTCCTTCACACTGAAGTAGGTACGCTGGCTGTCGAAAGGCTTATGTTTGACAAGATTTTTTGCACTTTTTGAGACTATTTTAGAATTTCTGGATACTAAAGATAAAATTTTAAAAGAAAATTTAATGAAGAGGAAAACAGACATCGCCTATTTAACAGATTTGTTTACACAATTTAATATGGTTAATTTGCAATTACAAGGCGACAATTTAAATTTGATTAAAACAAAGGCCATCTTATCAGCGTTTCTTGCCAGAGTTAAACTAATGAAGCAAAATATTGGACGGTGCGAATTTTCTCAGTTCCCCAATTTGTCACAGACAAGCTGCCAGGAAGACGACGTTTCAACTTACGTTCAACATTTAAATGCCCTCTATTCAGATTTTGAATCTATGTTTGAGGATATTTTGACTATGGTAATACCACCGTGGATAATTAATCCATATGGTGACATAGAAGAAACGAATGTCATAATACAAGAGGAACTGACTGAACTAAGTACAAACGAAGAACTTAAGGTTCAGTTTAATAACGGATATCAGCAATTCTGGCTGCAAAACAACATACCCGTTACTTATCCCGTATTATGGAATATAGCGAGGAAATTTTTAATTTCCTTTCCATCGTCATACCTAGTGGAAAGGGGGTTCAGCGCGGTTACCAATCTCCTAACGAACATCATTAGCCGAGGAGATTTAAGATTAACCCTTACAAAATTGACGCCAAATGTTGATAATTTATTATTAAAGCATCAGGTTCATCCTTCTCACTAAAAATATTGACTTATTGCTTATGTTATTTTATTTATAGTTTATTTTATGTTTATTGGTGTCTGACCAATAAATGTCCACATTGATTTTTTTAAAGAACCCCCCTTTATAGAAAATATTTTTTTTTTAATTATTCTGAAAATTCAAGGATAGGTACACACTAAAATTCGTTAATTTTTTGCCTATTTTTAGATAACTTTAATGTATAAGGAGCGGAATTTAATCAAACTAACAGTGAAATTATTGTAGAACATACGTTTATGTTATAATTAATAAACGAACTTGCTTATTGTACTATTTTAAGTAAAAAACTTTTCTATTTATTATTTTTCACTTTTTTATCCCACTTATTTTTTTTTCAATGTAGGTACTTATTCTCAATGCGGGCACTTATTGGTCAGACACCTGTTTATTTAATGTTACGTATATTTTACATAACAGATACATAATTTTATTTTGAGTAGTTTTAATTTAAATTCAATTAATAAATGTTAGAAATTTACAGGAAATCAATATCAGGTAAGTAGGGGGTCTACCCAACACGGAAAAACATGGCAAGGGGTCTACGACACAAAAAAGTTTGGGGAACTCTGTATTAAATAAACGTAAGCGTAGAATGTTGTAGAGTTTTTATTATGAAAATATACCATGGCAATTTGGAATTCGATATTTATCGCTGTCCGTGTGAAGCAACTGGTTTGGCTAGGTTTAAAACAAAAATGAAACATTTATACTTTCATACTGCTTTCATAAAGCTTTAAGATTATTGTTCTCAGTATTAGAAAAAGTTGCTTAACGGATGACTGTTCTCATCTAAGCCCACTTTCTTCATAGCACGCACATTCCTTTGCCGAGCATTTGCTGTTTGGATACACCAAACACTTATCCATACAATCCACGTCAGCTCTAAATTCGCCTTTGTATTTTCCAACAGCATCACAAGTATTCCTAGAAAAAAAAAATCCGTAATTTAAATTATATATTATAGCACAGCCGACATCAACTACGAGCCGTGAACAAAGAAATCTGGCAACGTAAGTGGTAGTGTTACTCCCGCCGCTGCTTGCTGCATCGACGCAACTCGTGCTCAAAACGCTGAGAAAACATAACCTTTTCAATTTGTGATTTTGGAATCCCAGAGGCTTTAATTAAGAGATAAGCTTGTTTTCTAAGCTTCAAAGTGTGTGTATGTGTTCAAAGTGATCGGTGACTATAATATATGAGAAATAGACTCCAGTTGTAGTGCTTCTGTGCTTTAAAAATAAACTAAGAAGTGTGATTGTGGCTGTTCGCGCATGAAGACGCTAAGGATTTCAACTATTGAAAACGTGCAAATTCAGGATGTATTTTTCTTTTTTCATTTATCAAGTATTTGCGCAGACAATATGCCTCGTTGTTGCTGTGTTCCTTTATGCAATGCAAACTATAATTCTGCTTTGAAAACAGAAAGCTATGTTTCAACTTTTCGCTTCCCAAGTACCGAAAGTCTGAAAAACAAATGGCTTATGGCAATTCCCAGAAAAAATTGGACACCTTCAAAATATTCAGCTGTGTGCAGTCGTCATTTTAGAGAATCGGATATCATCAGGACAGAAAATATAGTTTTGGCGGATGGAACAGTCCAAAAGAATATACCTTTGAAATATCCAAAATTGAAAGAAAATGCTGTTCCCTCCATTTTCCCTAACTTGCCATCATATCTTTCAAAAACTGAAGCACCCAAAAGAACTGACCCAATGCAAAGAAAACAAAAATTAATTGAGAAACATGAAAAAGCTATCCAGAATTTCGATGATATGGATAAGATCAAAGATAAATTTAGTTCAAAAATATGGATTTGAAGTTATTTGTGTTGTTACTGATAATCACCGAATTAATAGAGCAATGTTCAGGAAATTAGCAAAGGATTCATCAGAAAATTATTCTATTCCAAATCCACATAATCCTGATAAGAACATATATTTAACTTATGATGTTGTGCATATTTTCAAGAGTATCAGAAATAATTGGATTAATTTAAAAATCCTAGACAAAACTTTTGTATATCCTAATTTTGACAATAATGATATTATTCAGTAGGCTAAATTTGAAAACATTCGTGCTGTATATCAACTGGAAAAAGAAGCTGTAGTTAAGAAAGCATATAAATTAAATTATAAAACATTGCATCCAAATTCATTTGAAAGGCAAAATGTAAATTTTGTAGATAATTTATTCCATCACTCAACAATAGCTGCTATGAAAGAATTAAAGTTTAATGATGCTGCACACTTTTTGGAAATAATCAGGAATTGGTGGGATATTGTCAGTAATACAACTGTAATAAAAGGAGAATTGAAGCGAAACGAATTTTGTAAGCCTATTACCAATAAATATGATTATAGAGTACAATTTTTAAAAAAATTCCTGATAGGTTAGAAAAATGGCATAATCTAGAGAATAATAATGGACACCTGACACCAGAAACGTATACAGCTCTATATCAAAGCACGCTGACTCTACTTAATATAATTTCTTCTCAACCAAATTTCTTTGTGTCACATCGTCTCAGAAATATACTATCTCGAAATTATGCAACCAAGAAAACAGGTTAAGGAATTGAATTGCAGCATTTCGCGTGCCGTTAAGTCATTGCTCCACAGATGACGCTTTTGGTGATGATCTGAGCGCTCATAGGGGAATGCACACTAGGAACTATCTTCAGCAAGTTGACATTTTGTCGGCTTTTTGAGATTATTAATAACCCTGCAGGCTAGCAACGCAAACTGGGATACATTTCCAACAACCACCTTGCTGTTTCCACTGTCGAAGTGGACGATTCTGGTAATACGAGCTGTATCTCAGTGAAGTTGGCCTAACTCCCCAAAATATAATATTTGTGAATTTATTTGAGGGCTAATTTAAATTTTATTTCAAATATAATATTTTTGGTTTCTTTAAATGTTTATGAAAAGATAACAAAACCGACGCAACTATTTTTAAAGTGTTTTCAATTCGGAATTGTCGTCTTTGCAAAATGTGTATAGCAAAATACATGATGGCGACAACTTAAATTAAATGGTCTGCTTATTCGGTTCGATAAAATAAAGGTAAGCTTTGTAAAACAAATGATTACATTTCATGTTGCTAAAAAGCTGATTTTTGATGCTTAAATCAAGCCAAAATTGGTCATTCACTTGCATTTAAAAGGCCAGAATGCTCCCCAAATCGCTGTGTGTTAACAAATCGAGGTATGAGGTTCGAAATATTATTAAATTGTACTAAACAACGGAATCTGTGGCTCAAAAGCCCAGAACTGGAAGTCGCCCGCGTTATTTCAATACCAACTTAAGAGCCTTAAAACGGATCATCCAGCAGAATCGGCGTGATAATTATAACAAATTGAGAATATTGTGGAAAATGGCAACCACCATAAAGTTTTCAAGAACAACTTGTCACAGAGCTGCCCAAAAACTAGGCTTTAGGACTTACAAGCTGGCTTAAATTGTTTTCTGTTATTCGTTTTCATTTCAGTATTTCTAGGCAAAAGAGAATCCCTTACTGGCAAAGATTCAGAAGAAAAATAGACTAGCGTGGGCTAAAGAACACAAATTGTGGTCTCCGAACCACTGAAACTTCATTATTTGGAGTGATGAAGCCAGATTTGAAGTAGATATAAACTAAAAAAAAGTGTTTCAGAATGACAATCTTAAAAAAAAGTAAAGCTTCCGGCTTCTGTTATGATTGGAGGATCCACGTCAGCAAGTGGAGTGGAAAACTTACACTTTGTGGAAGGTATTATGAATGCTGATAAGTACCCTAATATGCTCCAAAATAACTAAATACCTCAATTTGAACATATGCGCTTGATCAATGTTGAATGTATATTCCATCAAGATGGTGCCGCTAAAAAAGTGAAAGATTGGAAAACAAAATGTCAGTTTTAAAATCGACGTCGAGTAGTCCAAATCTATCGCCGATTGAAACCTTGGGCATGTCTCTAAGTCTCTAAGAAATTTGCAACAGTTTTACACCAAATGACTGCCAAACATTAGCTGACACTATGTCAAAACGTATTTAGTCGAAAATGCGATGTAAAGCAGTGGTGATTTGCTGCTATGTTTCATTGATTTTTATTAATCGAATTTGTAAGATATTTTTTCTTTGTTACAAAAAATGTAATATATAAGGGTAATACTAAATACAAATATCGTATGATTCCAGAAATATACTAAGTGACATATAAATCCGAACACCCAGTTTAAATGGTTTTATTTTAATAAAAGTTGGTGAATGTATTTATCTTACTGTAAATAACAAGTTTAAAAATTTTCAGTTGGACATTCCGGTTTTTATACTGCTTTTTTTTAATTCACTAACGCTCTAAAAATGAATATTTCAGCCGCAGTAAAAAATCAACGTTGACGGATTTTGGTTCTTGACATCCTTTACGATCGGTTACGATGCCTAGAGTACGGAGACCTGTACGATTTCGTCAACTTAGTGAGTTTGATAGGGGCCGTATAGTGGGACTTCGAGAAGCTGGACTTTCTTTTCGGGCAGTTGCAGTTAGAGTGCAAAGAAGTGTAGACACTGTGGTTAGATGTTGTCAAGCATGGCTTCGAGAATGCCGTACGCAAAGAGCAAGGGGCACTGGATTCCGCCGTAGAACAACAGACCGTGAAGATCGCCGCCTAAGATTATTGGCCTTAAGGGACCGTTTCTCTACTCTCAGGTCCATTGCAAATGAATGGTTTGCAGAACACGGAAGATCTATTGGCATGCGAACTGTTTACCGACGAATGAGAAGTTTTGGCTTGTTTTCATACCGGCCACACTCGGTCCTCCCTTTAACTCGAGAACACCGACGTAATCGCCTTGAGTGGTGCAGACAACGGTCACTCTGGGATCAGGAATGGAACAGTTTTTTGTTGAAAGACATATTCATCACACTGTTGGAGTTATGGTTTGGGGTGCTATAGCTTATGGTTCCCGGTCACCTTTAATCTTCATCAGAGGTAACATGAACGCGCAGCGTTATATCCACGAAGTTCTAGAACCCCATCTTTTACCCTATCTTGACACCCTGGCAGATCCAACTTTCCAACAAGATAATGCCCGACCACATGTTGCAAGAGTCACAATAGAGTTCTTTCAACATAATAATGTCACATTGTTACCATGGCCACCAAGATCTCCCGACTTATCCCCAATTGAGCACGTGTGGGATATGATGGGTAGGAAATTGCTCAATTTACAATGTCCTCCTCAGACTCTAGAAGCACTTCGAGAGGAGTTGGTGCATCCACATATTATTAAAGGTCAACGGGCTTTAAAGCAGTGCAATCATTTTGAAATTTTTATCATTTACTTATTATGCTTCATTAAGTACTTATACAAAATTTTATTAAAATAAAACCATTTAAACTGGGTGTTCGGATTTATATGTCACTTAGTATACATTTTAGTTTTTAAAACGTTTCCGCTAATATGACGAATAAAATAACAGACGTAGTTTTGATAGTTGGGACAACTTCATTATGACAGGGCTCGTAGATGGCACGGGCTGTCTTAACATGATAGAAGTAGTCTTCTAGCATTGTTCTCGAAAACTTGCAAAATATTGAAAACTTACGGGCATATACAGATATCCTTTGGGCAGTTCGGTGGATACCTAAGGCAGTTAGTTTGACACCAGCTCTTCACTCCAGGCATTCCTCTGTAGAGTTTACTTGGAACGCAAACTTGATCTCTGACGACCAATGGCACTACGTTGTAAGGCGCTGGTTTATTCTGGTCCTTGTAGTACAGTTGGTATGGATTCAAGTTGTCGACAAACAACGGGGGAACACCTCCACCTATGCAAAGATAAGGAGAGAAATTGAAGTATACTCTAATCGCAAACAACAGACTAGTGAAATTAAAAGAATATTTCTTGAATCAATAATAATCCTATATAATATTCTAGTAAGACTATTCGACAGTCTATCATAGTAGTTTTATGTGCTCCTCGGTGTTCGAAAAGCCAAACATGGTATTCGCAGCAGCATAAAACAAGAAAATTGAAAGAAACCATAAACAACTATGGGTTCAAGCAAAAAATTGAAGAGAGTACCATTATCAGAGACTTTGTTAGATCTTGTTATTGTAAATTTCGAATGTGCAGGGATTAAAGCTGTACATACACCTAAAGTTAGCGATCACAGTTGGCCAATGCTGCCCTTGGTAGGGCATTTTTCTGATACAAAAATTAAGAAAATCGTAAATACTATTAAGTACGAAAAACTTGAACGAGAACATGCTGGCTGCTATTGGAATTTTGGTGAGAATATGGAAAAAATATATGACAACATAATAGGAAATATAAAAACTTGTTTAGATCTTGCAACTGATAAAAAAGTGATTTGCTCGACAAAAAATACACCCTGGTATAACAAGAATATTAAGGCAGCTCAAAATTTTAGAGACAAACAATACAATAAATGTATATTCACAAAATCAAATGATGATTGGGAGGTATATAAAACTCTTAGGAATAAATGTGTATATGTAATTAGAGAAGAAGATAAACAAATCGATAATAACAAGTGCGACAGTGTAAAGATGTGGAACACTTTAAAAAGACTGATCAATTCGAAGCCGCATGATTGTGTAAATCAAGTTCAATTCGAAAACGGTACCGGAACAAATTCTTTGGTGATTGCAAACAAACTAAATGAATATTTTGTGGAAAGTATTGTTGATATTTTGGGTACTGCCAATGCTGCACCTGACTATATGAAAATCAGTTTCCAGGGGAAAATGTTGCATACACTTTCAAAATTTCACAGTGTATCATTGAATTATCTAAAAAATAAAAGTAAACAGTTTAAAATCAAATAACAACTGTGCCGAAATGACTACTAAAAACGTGCTGAAAAACTGTTTCGAAATTTTGGGATATCCTGTATTAAATTGGATCAATTGTTCACTGAGAAGCAGTTCTTTCCCTGAAAATTTGAAATGCTCTACAATAACACCAGTTCCCAAAATAAAAAATTCTAAAAGATGCAGCGATATGAGACCAGTAAATGTGTTACCAGACATTGAAAAATTATTAGAGTCCATAGTGCATGACCAATTAATGCAGTTTATAGAAGAAAACAAAATTTTAGTGGAGGCGCAAGCAGGCTTTCGAAAAAAATATTCCACAGAAACAGCTTTCCAGTTCGGAGAAGGAGAAGAGCCATAGACTCAGAAGAAGATGTCATAGCAGTATTTTTGGATTTGAAGAGGGCATTTGAAACGATTGATAGAGATATTTTGCTAGGTAAATTGAAGGCATATGGTATAACAGGAAGTGTTTTAGATTGATTTAGAAATTATTTGTCTAAAAGGATGCAAGTTACAAAAGTTAATGACACTATTTCATCAAAAATTGAAAATACGTTGGGTGTTCCACAGGGCAGTATCCCGGGACCACTTCTTTTTATTTTATACATAAGTGATTTACCTACCATAGTCAAAAAATGCAAAATTCAGATTTTCGCCGATGACACTATGATTTATATAAGTACTAAAAATATTCAGTCTGGTATCTCTTATATAAATGAAGACTTGAAGCTTGTCTCAAAATGGTTAGCATCTAACAGACTAAAATTAAATGCACGTAAAACGAAAGCCTTGTTAATCGGGAAAAAACAATGTACAAATGTTCAACTGAATATTGATGGTGAAGATATTGAATTCGTAGAAAATTTTAAATACCTGGGGGTTTTTGTTGACTCTCGATTAATTTTTGATATTCATTATGAAAAAGTTATAAATAAGATTAGTAGTAAAGTGGGATATTTATCGAGAGTTTCTGGATGTCTGAGTTCATATAGCAGAAAAATTATCTATAATACCATCATTCTTCCAAATTTCTTGTAGTGTTCGACTATTTTATATTTAGCAAATAATTCCATTTTTGAAAGACTGCAAATTTTACAAAATAAGTGCATGAGAATAATACTAAATAAAGATAAATATACTACAATTAGGCAAATGCTTAGCAAATTAAAATGGCTCAATGTAAAATAATTTATCAAATATCTTGTATATATATATATATATATTTATAAAGTAAAAAATAATATATTTCCATCAAGTCTAACTAATTTAATATCATCAAATGTCGATCATCATTTACATAATACCAGAAATAAAGATGACTTCCATTTAATGACCAAAAAGTATAACATATACTACAAATCTGTATTCCATCAAGGGTTGATTGAATATAATAAATTATACTCGGAGATAAAAGACCAGAAAACTATGACAAAATTTAAAGTAAAATTGAGAAATCAATTGTTAAATCTACAATTATAGGTTGCCCAGCATTTACATCATACACCATATGGCTTGAATTTACTAGTTCTAAGTTGTTTACAATTGTTCTGTTTATGTAGCCAAATGTGCTAAATAAATCTTTCTACTACTACTACTTACTATCAGAGGAGCCTAATGCTATTCGTTTGAGTTTACACTATTCTAAATGTCTCTTAATTCAGATTGGATGAACATTTTCTTCATCCTCTTACTTCCCATGCCAAAACTGGCGAAAAACTATTGTAATCGCAAAAAAATCGAAATTGAGATATTACGTTTTTTTGATATTATACGACATGTACATCACGAAGAACCATGTCACTCATTTCCGCCGGATCTATCTGTCTGTTTTACAGAAGATTACTACTATGACAAGGATGAAAAAAAATACGAAAACAATAAAAATCGCTTAAACCTCGGTTTTTGACGTTTCAGAGTCTCCTGATCATTCATAGGGTATCGTAGAACCATTATTCAAATCTGGAGAAAGAGAAAAACCCATCAACTATCGACCAATTTCCATCTTAACCAATTTTTCTAAAATATTTGAAAAACGATTCACCGAATTTGCAAAAAAATATAATTTAATAGCGGTACAGGAATATGGTTTTCAAGATGCTATTGTGAAATTAACAAGTAAAATATACACGAATCTCGATATTGGCAAACCAACTGCATGTGTTTTGTTGACTCGGCAAAGGCATTCGACTCTATTACTCATGAATCGCTTTTAACCACTTCAGAAAACTTAGGTTTCCGTGGAGTAACATACAAACTTACAGAAAATTATTTGTCAAATCGAACACAGTGCGTCAAAATTAATAATACATTCACTGAGCCCCATATCGTATCGTGCGGTGCACCTCAAGGTTCAGTATGAGGACCCATTTTATTCTCTCTGAAAGTAATCAGTGGCATACACTAAAAACCACAATCGAAAATGGTTTCAAAACATTCATAAATTTCTTTTCGGAAAGAACTATGACAATTAATTACAACAAAACACACTGTATAGCATTTTCTTGTAACAACAGGCTCTCACCACAATTTAAAAAACTTGAAGTTCATACAAGCAGTGGTCTCAAAGAGATTCAGTCGGCCGATAAAATAAAATACTTAGGCGTGACTTGGAACAAACACTTAAAATGGAATATCCGTACAGAGTACCTTGTGGAGAGACTGAGATGATTCTGGATAAGAAATATTTATATAATCTTTATTATGCTCTTGTTTATCCTCTATTACTTTACGGACTTTTGGCTTGGGGGGAGTTATGAATAATAATTACAAAAAGGTTGATGTAATCCAAAAATTAATTCTAAAATTGATCCTCCATAGGAAGATTACTTATTCAAGGCTCAGCTATTAGATCGCCGATAAATTTATTTTTATTGTGGTCTAATACATTATATTAAAAAGTAATTAAATGAAATAGATCATTTAAAAAAGAACTAAAAAACGGATTTTACAACAACCAAGGTGCTCCATCCACGAAATTGTAGATATGAAGAATAATTATCAAAGTCAATAATATTTTACTTACACTAATATCCATACTTTCACTTTAGTTATAATTGTCTGGATATTTTTCCTGACATCATCATAATAATTCAATTCACCAAATTATACAGTATTAACGGTTTTTTTTCGTACACTGACTGTACTTTTAGTTTTAATTTTTAACAAACCCAAACACAAGTGCAAACTTTTTTGGGTACTTTATGTTTATTGTGCACAATATTTAACATTTATCTGTGTTTTGTGACATGAACCATTATTATTATTATTAAAAAAACGTCTTTAGTATTAGTCAAAGGCTTTCTATCATTAAGAAGCTTCTGATTCCGGTAACAACGGGAAAATTAAATGATAAAGAGGCGCGATGCTTCGTCGTCGTGGAGGCCTCTGCAATGGGAAAAGCTCCAACTGGACTGGTGTCATCACTGACATACCGCTACAGGAGAAATATTTATATATTTTAGCAATATTTGGGTATTAGGAGTACGTACCACTTTAAGGTTCTGCGATGCTTTTGTAAATGATGACTTAATTGTTTTTATATCTACACATATGTTTTTCTTAATTTTATAATTTAATGAACCTCATATGTACCAGCCATTTCGCCTAATCTTCACTTTGTGTTACTCCATCTATGATGGTTCTCTGAATATTTCGTCAAGTAGACTGACAGTTTGACATACTACGAGCCCCTTCCCACTTCAGTTGGCCCAACTATTGAAATCTTAGTTTTTTTCTTATCAAACACAAATAATAAAAATGCAGCAAGGTGTTATAGGTTTAAAGTATTAACAATGAATATTTTGATAATATGTAGTAGAAAACACCAACATTACCACTCCCTAATCAAATCTGCAGCATAAAAATAACTTATGTTGCATTTACAGCATATCAAACTATTTTCAACGCAAAATAAGTCTATAACGCATAGGTGGCTGTGAAAAATAAAAGCCATGACAATTGTTTTTATTGATCACAGCTGTCAGAATACGTTTAAAATAGTTTTGGGTAGTTAAGGTTTTCAAAATGGGTAGAGGAAAGGTTATTAGTAAGAAAATTCGGTTACTGATAATTAAATTTTTTAATTCTGGGAAATCAAACTCACAAATTGCAACTTTGTTAGATTTATCGCGGTACAGTGTGAGAAATATAGAAGATATAACGTAACTGGTTCAGTTAATATTAAGCCATGATATGTGAAAAACAGGCGTGCCAATTATTTACAATTAAGTGCTTTGTGGAGTGACGCAACAGCGTCCAACAGGAAGGAGAATTTCGAGGTCCACAACTCATAGAGAGGCCCACAAACTGGGATTTAGCACTTGCAAGGTAAGTTTTCTTATAAAAAAGAGTGAAGTAAAAACCCTAAAGTTGCACAACTTGTTTATAGGCCAAAGAAAAGCCACTATTAACTCCACTGCAAAAGAAAAATCGGTTTAGATGGGCTAAACAACATAGACAATGGACACCTCAACAATGGTGTGCAATACAATAGAGTGATGAGGCCCGATTGGAAGTTTGTGTTGGTGACAGTCGCAGTAGAGTTATTCGCAAAAAAATGAAGCATTCCATGTTGACTGTCTGAAGAGAAAAGTGAAATTTCCAGCATCCATTATGGTCTGGGGCAGTGTGTCATTAAAAGGAGCAGGGAAACTTCATTTTATTAATGGAAATGTGGATACAAACAAATATTTGGCAATTTTAGAAGAATCGCTTTTACCAGTGATGGAAGAATGTTTGACATCCGGCCAAGATTTTCTGTTTCAGCAAAATGGTGCAGCGTGCCATACCTCAAAAACGGCTATAAAATGGATGGAAGAAAATAATGTACCACTTTTGAAATGGGTTTCTAGCAGTCCAGATCTGTCACCTATTGAAACTTTGTGGCACGAGGTGAAAAAAGTCCTACGACAACATCCTGCTCGTACAATCACCGAACTGAGACAAAAGCTTCAAGAAATATGGGATTGTTTTACACCAAATTTTTGCCAAAACTTGGTTAACACTATGCCCCAAACCATTTCAGCCGTAATAAAAAATAAAGGTGATGTTACCCAATGGTAATCTTTCAATTGTTGCTTTGTTAACTTCGCGCATTTATTCGCACATTGTTTATTTGTTCAGATGTTCTATTAGTTATAGGTCTAAGGGATTTCAAATATGTACTTTTTACGACTAGAGTGTATCTAAAATGTTTTTGAGAAAATAAATTGTTTTAGAAGTAAATAGTTTCGTCATGTTTAGTTTATAAAGGCATATTTTGGTACAAATCTTGAAGTTGGCCAACTGAAGTGGGAAGAGGCTCGTATATATGAGACACACTGACTTGTGTGATATCTTCAAGCAACATAAAGCTTGTGGACCAAAGTTCGGATATTATCGCAACCTCAATACTCCCATCGTTTAGGTAATCATAAATTTTGAAAAATGATCCAGAAGCAGCGGAATTAAAATCGCTGGAACATAGTGTTATATCGTACCTAAGTGACGCTACCTAATCACGATTTGATTTGGCCTTTAGAAACGATTTGACTCATCCTTTATCTTTGAAACCTCCAACGAAGGCGTAGGAAGTATAGACGCCATTTTATTGGTAACTTTTTTTAATAACATATTTTCTACCAACTTATCTGCCTGGACGTGATCCTGATCAGCAGGAAATCAGTAGTCATTTAAGGTAACTATACAAAATCAATATCTAAAAGAGTGATTCATACATCTAAACGAGTAGGGTATTATCTCGAAGCATTGTGTGTTTTAAATTCTATGAAACATCATTAGACATTACCTGTACTTGTATGTATAGCTACATCGGCGCAGTTCCTGAACGTCTCTGATTTCCCACAGCCCTGCGCTTGGGTACCATTTGGACACATACCCCATTGATTGCCAGTAAAATAAGTCCACTGTAATACGCATTGTGTACAAGTAACATATGGTGGGAGCTGCACTTGATACCTGAAATAAAACATAGTTTTGCTCAAAAAATAACTCAAGTTCAACTTTGGCGTTAGTTTGTCTTTATGAGGGTATTTAAAGGTCACTTCAAAGTCATATCAAGGGAAGTTTCAGAAGTAGCCGAGCAATTGAAAGTTAGAATGGCCACTCAAAGGATACGTTAAAAAAGCTATATCACCGCATCCGATCACATGCAATAATATGGCAGTGTATAAGGTTCTCGAAAGCAGATATTAGCAAGAACTGACACTAAATTTTATCTGACAGTCTTCAAGGTTCGCAAACATGATTTATTCGAATTGTAGCAATTCACGAAATCTTGTTAAAAACCCCTTTGGATAATACTAATACAAAGCAGTGAAGGTAAAAATAGCAATCAAAATAACTCGTTATACATAAACCCCTACTAACATATACAAATATAAAGTATAAAAAATGCTAGCATCTTACCTTGCTATTTTTTTTTAATATATCGTACCTGAACACAGCCTTCTTCTTTCCGTCCTCAGGAATCTGGTATGCCAAATCTCTAGTGCCTCGTATGTAAAGGGGGTACCTGTTGAAGCATTCTTGAGATGCTTCTTGGCTTGGATTGTTGTTAGGGCATAATAACACTTCAAACCTTCCATAATGATTAGCTGTAAGTTCTATTTCGATATCTACTACTTGGCCCACTACGTAGTGTCTGCTTATGATACCTGGTAGCAGAAAAAATTTCGTTTCACCAGACAGTTAAGAAGAATGTTGCATGACAGAAAGATTAAGAAGAACAAGATAACAACTGATAGAAGATACATTGGGAAAGAAGTATACAATTTTAGAATTAGTCCATTTTCTACCCTTTCTTTACCGATTTATACTGCATCTGGATGTCATGAGCATAAAGCTTCTTCAACGAAATATGTTCTTTTCTTTACGTTTTTAGATCGCAGTGTTATCGAATGGGTAGGGTCGATCGACTAACTGTATGGGCCTATTTGACTAACTTGATCCATTCAATTTCTTATATTTTATACATGTTCTTCTTCGAGGCGCCAACTTGTGCTGAATATAATCCTTCACAAACATATATCCTATAGCTGCAAATTTTATTCTAAATTACCTTTAGCATATGTTCCACCAGCTTCATGGGACCTAGGTTCCGCTTCATGATGAGGATCTCCACATAAACCGCATTTTCCTTCATTTTGTTCCCACTGCACTAAAAGTAAACGTTTCAGTACTCACAGACGTGATCACGTCATTGTCGGCAACTTTAAAAACCCAGCAAGAAATCATACGGATTCATTATTGCGGCATCAATGACTAAAATTTCAGTATATTATCAAAAAAAATATGAAAACCATGCAGATGGCTTTTTGATGATACATAGAAAATATTGTCATTTATTGTCCAGTCTCACTACCAATATTTATATGGCCCAATGCCTAATTTGTTTGATGTTAGTTTTAATGTGAAGGTAAACTTTGAAGCCCTTGCTTTTCTTATAGTTTTATCTTCTGGCTCTAACAGAAACTTAGCAGGTGTGTAAATAATGCAGAGAATTTACGAAAAAATGTCAGAAAATGTTCTTAGGTTCACAGGAAGATGAAATCAGTGGATTTATTAGCAGAATACAAAGAAAATCCATAACGATTATCTACCATTTTACCTGAGTAGAAAGTATTTGATTTCTTTTACCTGAGTATCCTCCACAAAATAGTTCATTATCGTTGTAGTTGACTGGATTGGGGAAACCAAACCTCCACATCGAATTCCTCGCTGGAGGGTCCATCAGCCTACCATGACCATCTACTAACCTCTTGAGGTTCAATAGACATATTATTGTCATAAGCACCTTTGACGCCATTTTGTCATTTGTGCCTGCAAGAATAAAACTGTGACAACCAGTCCATGCACAGGGTATCCCACAAAATACTAAGAACTTCCAAATTAACCTTTACGGTCTATGCCACTCTCCTTACTTTCAATCGCATTTGCATAACACCTTTGAAACATAGCATCTTCAATTTCGCTTACTTCGTGACGGATATTCTTTTCTAAATTAGAAATATTCCTAGGAATGTTGATGTGAACTTTGATTTTGAGGTATTAACTTCTGTATAAACAGCCCACTAAGTCTTGTGGAAAGTGCAAGAACCAGGATAAAAAAGAATTGTATATAATATGCTAAAACGCATCACTTATCGTTGAGCCTCTCGCTTTTACAAAGAAAATAGCGCGATTATTTGCTGAGGCTAGCTGAGGCGATATTACACGGTCACCGGGATCACCAGATTTGACACCCATTGAATTGTCATGTGGGGCATCTCAAGAGCAGGCTTTTTAGTTGCGCGATTAGGACGAATTCAGAAACATCTCAAATGTGAAAATCCACCAAATCGTTCGGTCTGTAACCCGTGAAATATGAATTTCAAGCTTGAAGTTTAAGATCTCCTATTCTTTGGAGTAAGCATGAGCTCTTGTGTGCAGGTTAACAGGTGTAACTCATATAGCTCTCTCATCTTCAACCATCTCAAGTCTCTCAAAGAACCTCTTATATGGTTATATTTTCTCAAATTATTGTAACTATATCACAATAAGTACTTCTAGACATAATTGATGATTCTATTAGTCTAATAATCAAGAATTTGCTTATTCAGATATAACTGACACCAGATCGGAAACCAGTTTTTTGTAGCTTTGTTACATGAGGTATGAACTTGAGACCATCATCAGAAATAATTCCCAAGTTTTTGACTGCTTCATTAAATTTGATAGTAGCACCATCTAATCTAACGTCAAAGATGCTTTTAACATAGTTTCTAAAAGGTTTAGGCGTGAGTGTAAGTAATAGCAAAAACAACTATTTTCATACACTACATTTTATATTAGAACAACCTAATGAACTTGATAAGTATCAGAAGCTTTTGCACGTAACAAGTATTGCAAGCAGTAACGAAAGTGTAACAATTTTTTGTCAAATTTGGCTGGTAGAATATGTGCCAGTAGATAGTAGATATCCGAAAGCTTCCTCTCATTGAAAGTTGTAATATTCGTTAAAATGATCTATGTTCATGTGTAAAAACCAATTTGGAACAAAACTGAACCTGTTCTCTGCATTTCCTATACTCATATAGCAAATTAATGTTAATCACTCGATCAGCCGTATTATGTATACGTATAATTTATTGTTTTTGCAATGGAATCAATTTTGGAACAAATGATACAGTGACCTTGGCATTTTTGGTCACTGCAACTTTTTACGACGAACAGGGTGTGACTGTGTTGAATATTCCGTAGGTTAACAAGAAGTTTTGAATATAATGGCCAGCCTTATAGCGGAATTAAAAGAAAGAACAATAGAGTTTTAATTGTTTGACGAATTTTAGCTCCAGAGCGTTAGAAAAAACGATGTTAAAAATCCTTCATTATAATAGAGCCTCTGGAATTGCAGCAAATTAATACACATGGATCCTTGAGGGTAAATAAGAATGGTCGTATTAAGCTGTTTCATCAAATACTCAATAAACCGTCCACATATGTTTGTGTTTTAGTTAAGGAAAAAATGCTTAAATGGCGTTCTACTTACTACAAATTTGATCGGAGTACAGTATCAGCGAAACTATATGGATTTCAAGACAATTTTATTTTAGTTCATTCACCGACCGATAGATGGCGCTGTCATTGAGGCTAAGGTCGCATGCTTAACCATTTTGAGTGACTACCTAGCACAATAAATATCAGTCACATCGAGGGCACCGCTGACTGGTCATCCCTAAGCAGGATGATCAACAACAAGGGGATTCAATTCTCCAAGGCGAGGACGGCGGGGAACAGCATGAAGGTGTTCACCAACACAGCAGCAGACTACCGTCAGCTAGTGACCCTTCTGGACTCCATGAAGAGGCCCTTATTCACGTACCAGCTGAAGGAGAACAAGATTGACCAGAGGGTAATACGAGGACTGCCTAGGAAGATGTCAACCGAAGACATCAAAGAAGACCTAGCGAACCAAGGTATCACAGACACCGAAGTTCAGCAGATGAAGGCCAGGACCACCATGAAGCCACTGCCGTCTCGCTGAATGGTGCGTCAAGTGTGGAGAAGACCACAATAGCACCAACTGCAGTCTGCCGACGCCGCCAACAGGGCACACACCAGCAGACTACCGTCAGCTAGTGTCCCTTCTGGACTCCATGAAGAGGCCTTTATTTACGTACCAGCTGAAGGAGGACAAGATGGACCAGAGGGTAATACGAGGACTGCCCAGGAAGATGTCAACCGAAGACATCAAAGAATACCTAGCGAACCAAGGTATCACAGACACCGAAGTTCAGCAGATGAAGGCCTGGACCACCAAGAATCCACTGCCGTCTCGCTGAAAACGGTGCGTCAAGTGTGGAGAAGACCACAACAGCACCAACTGCAGTCTGCCGACGCCGCCAACAGGGCAACGAAATGCCAAGTACTGCTTTTGCGGAGAAGGACACCCAGCCAACTACAAAGGATGTAGTAGTAGTAGTAGCAGGAAAACTGCTGTCGCCCCCAAAGCAGCCTCCACCTCGAATCGGACGTCTTACGCCGAAAAAACGAAAAAAAACAACTCCACTTCTGCCCCAGCAGCCGCCACTGCTACTGGAACTACTGCGCCTGGATGCACTCGAGGCCAAGATGGAAGACAAACATTAGACCAGCAAATGATTGCAAGAGAAAACGTGGAACCACTACGTATAATCTCCTGGAACAACGGATTCAGGGCACGGAAACCAGAAATCCAGGAGATACTAGACCAGTACCAACCAGAGGTGATGGTCATCCAAGAAACTATATTGGGCGCCGCCCATAGACTGACGTTCCCGCGGTACGAGACGTACCGCTGCGACAGAAGAGGCAGAGGTGGAGGAGTCGCACTACTCGTCAAACGTACCCTGCGAGTCATGTCCTCGACGACGCCGCAGACGTCAATGGGGACGGAATCACGGTCCAGGTCCATCACAATCACCGTCCCTATAGAATCACCTCCCTTTATGTGCCACCAGGGGAGGCCCTAGACGAAGATGACATCGCTGACCTCCTGAGAGGCCCAGGAGCATGCATAGTCATCGAAGATCTAAACTGCAAGTCTCCGGCATGGAACAACAACGTCGAAGAATGCAGGGCAGCTCCAAGAACACGTCGCTGTCCTGGCCGGGTCATCGTCGGTCCGGAGCAACCAACCTACATTCCATTCCGCCTTGGGCGACCTGCGGTACTGGACATAGCCATCCTCCGCAACATCAGAGAGGAGTTCGAGATAGAGACCCTGGAGGAAAGATCGTCGGACCACAACCCGATCCTAGTAACGCTTGGCACAGGATCTGCAACTCAAGATAGCTTGACCACCAAACGGACGAACTATAACTACTACAAATCCAACGCCCAAAGGAATATCACCCAAATTCGAACCATCCGATCAGCAAAGGAACTGGACAACGCAGTAGAGGAGCTGGAGAATGCTGACCTGCGAGCGCACGAAGACAGCACCCACTCCAAGACTACGGCAGTTCCAAGACACCTAAATGGTCCAGCGCCGCACCATATTAGGCACCTGATCAGGGAGAACAGAAGACTCAAGCGAAAACATCTCCAGCTGTTGACAGAGAACTCGAGAATTGCGCGAGTTATGTATCCAACCGGATACGGTAACCATACGTCGGCACATGAACGGCGTTCACCTTTACCGGAAATGCAACATAGACATTTTTAGTTTACTTGGTTTATATTTTTGTTAATCAGTTCAGTTCATAACTCATCCTTGTAATAGTCGGTCGGTACTCAAATAAATATTTTTTCAAAAGTAAAATCCTGGATTCGAGAATTTATCTGGCGCTGCGAACAGGATAACTGCACGACATCCCTGAGGATCATCGGCTCGTGTCAACGACTTGGCAGTTATCTACAAATACCACGGACCTGAGGAAACTGGAGACCGTACTGGAGATGAAAATCCTTCTGATTCGTCTGATCCTTATGTAAGTCCATTCCATTTTTCCTATGAGTTCCGAGTATCCACAGGATTCTTTACAAGCTGTTATTTCACTTAGTACTCGAAGAATTTCAAAAGAAAAGTCTAGATTTAAGCCATATTCTACTCCCTCTCTCGAAAATATTTCTACCGAACAATTAAGTACCTCTTCCTTAGAAACTATTACAGAAAACCCAAACATGGTTCTCTCAAATTCGGATATCAATAATCTGTGTAATACCTTGCCAGAATACAAAGTGGGTGAAAATCTATCTACTTTTATCAACTCTGTAGATAATTTGGTAAAATTTTTTTCTCAACAAGGTGCGGATGCTATCCAAACCTACATCATAAATGCTACTATATTGTCTAAGGTAAAAGGTGAGGCTCGTGATTTTTTAAATCTTCACAATCAAACTCAGTGGGCTGAGATAAAGCTACTTTTATTGCAGAAATATGGTGATCATCGCACCGAGGAAATTCTATTAACCCAACTCACAACCACAGTCCAAAAACGATCCGAATCGTATCATGAATATCACCACCGAGTAACACTAGCATTAAATGATATTCTTCAGCATGTTTCACTTCATGAAAGTAATCCACAGGCAGTTGAGTTTAAAGCTTCATTCTTTAGAAATCAAGCACTTAGAACCTTCTGTACTGGTATAAATAATCCATATTGCGACCACCTATCTCATTACGATTTATCTTCGTTAGACGAAGCTCTTCAGAAATGTATTTCTTTAGATAACCATAAGCAACAACAGCAATATATGTCGTATCTGAAATCCTCTACCTACCCCAATGAGTATCAAAAGGCACCACCACGTCCCATTCAACGTAATGCCCAAGCTGTCACTCAACCGAGTAATCG